CTGGGTTTGTTAACAAAGGTGGCTTTGGGGGCGCCTGGGTGGCTCGGTCGGTTAAGTGTCTGACTTCCGCTCAGGTCATGATCTCGCAGTTCGTGAGTTCGAGCCCTGTGTCGGGCTCTGTGCTGACAGCTCAGAGCCTGGAGCTCACTTCAGATTCTGTAGCTCCCTCTCTCTCTGCGCCTCCCCCGCTCACACTCTCTTTCTCTCTCAAAAATAAATAAACGCTGGGGCGCCTGGGTGGCGCAGTCGGTTAAGCGTCCGACTTCAGCCAGGTCACGATCTCGCGGTCTGTGAGTTCGAGCCCCGCGTCGGGCTCTGGGCTGATGGCTCGGAGCCTGGAGCCTGTTTCTGATTCTGTGTCTCCCTCTCTCTCTGCCCCTCCCCCGTTCATGCTCTGTCTCTCTCTGTCCCAAAAAAATAAATAAACGTTAAAAAAAAATAAAAATAAATAAAAAACAAAGTTGGCCTTGGGAAAGCACTTATGGATGGGGGCTGCTTCCCAGGGTAACTAACCATGAATAGTGGGTTGGAACTTTCAGTCCCACCTCCTGATTTCAGGGAAAGGGAGAGGGGCTACATTTTGAATCAATCACCAATGGCCAATGAGTTAATCAACCATGTCAATGTAATGAAGCCTCCATAAAAACCCCAAAGGAAGGAGTTCAGAGAGTTTCCAGGTTGGGGAACAGAACCGTTCCATGTGCCACCATGCCAGGGTCCCAAGCTCCAAGAACACAAAAGCTCCTTTGTTCAGGACATCACCATGTGTATCTCTTCACAGGGCTGTTGATTTGTATCACTTATTCTAGTGAGTAAATGGGTTTCCCTGAGTTCTATGAGCCATTCAAGTAAATTCATTGAACTCAAAGAGAGGGTCATGGGAACGTCTAATTTACAGCCAGTTGGTCAGAAGTGTAGGTAACAACCTATACTCACAGTTGGCATCCTGAACTGGAAGGGGGTTGTTGGAGCCTCCGATTTATAGCTGGTCAGTCAGAAGCACAGGTAACAGCCTGGGCTTTTGATGGTGGTTGAAGTGGAGGGTGGTCTTGTGGGACGGAGCCTTTTACCTGTGGAATCTGATGCTATCTTCAGGTGGATGAATTCTTGAGTTGAATTCTCGGATACCTTGTTGGTGTCCGAGATTGCTCGTTGGTGTGGGGAAGCCTCCACGCACACATCAGAACTGGGTCCAGGAGGGGCGCCTGGGTGGCTCAGTCGGTTGAGCAACTGACTTCGGTTCAGGTCATGATCTCACGGTTTGTGAGTTCAAGCCCCGCGTCGGGCTCTGTGCTGACAGCTCGGAACCTGGAGCCTGCTTCGGATTCTGTGTCTCCCTCTCTCTCTGCCCCTTCCCCACTAATGCTCTGTCTCTCTCTGTCTCAGAAATAAATAAACGTAAAAAAAAAAAAAAATTTAAAAAAAAAAAAAAAGAACTGGGTCCAGGAACCCAAAAGAACATCCCAGGAATAGAAACTCCAGTCCCTCCACAAACCCACCCCTCTTCCTTGTAGGCTGTCCTGGGCCAACTGTCCGGAACCACATTCGGCTGGTTTAAGCCAGAGATATCAGCTTCCATTGACTGTTCTGGTGGTAGCTGCCTTTCCCAGGTCAAGGCCAGTTGTTGGCCAGATTCCATTCACTCCCCCATAGCACAGTCTAAACCCTGCGTGGCTAAGCAGAATCCTCTGTTTCTGTACCTGCTTTCTCCCAGTTGCATGAAGTCAATGACTTAGCTCTTATTATTTTCTTGAAGGAGAGGACAGGAAATACATTCAGTCATCTATCGGACATTTGTCAAGGACCTGTTGTGTGCCCCTGACCTGGATACTGAGGAATCCCAGCCTAGTGTGGACAGCTAATATTAGGGTTATGACATCTATGCAGAAGTAAGTGTTGGCTTCTATTTGACTTTTCTGCCCCATCGTTTCAGAGTGCTAAAGCTTCTCTGGCCCCTGAGCCTTACATCAGAATATTGGACACCTATTGTCCCTTGGGTGGAGGTAGGGTGGTAGAACACAATCTAGAATGAAGCACACTGCCTGGCTCGGGGATGTTAATTGGGTGGAATCAAAGGTGATGCCTTGCTCTCACCTGTTTCGATTATGGAGCCCAGACCTTATCCATACCAGGTAGGTGGAAGAGGAAGGGGGGAGGGCTGCAGGGGTGCATGGCATGAAGCCAAGTCCTAGGAGGTAGACAAGTAAAGAGGGGGGCCCTTGTTATAGCCGTGCCCTCCTTGCTCTAAGCTCAAGTGGCAGGCCCTAACATTTGTAGGCCTGAGCAACAACACAAATGAAGATCCACTTACCATGTAGCTAAATTTGTATTAAGACAAGCTAATTGCGGATGATCTAGCCTTCTATCACGACAAGCATACCTTCATCATCACCTGGAAGGCCAGGTTTGAATTTAGACTTCTAGCACTCCTTGAAGTGCTAGACTTCAAGTTCTGTGCTAGAATGTTCCCCAGTCTTGGTCCCCAGCCCACTACCTGCCTTCTCTCCCCGGGTGGCAGACGCACCTCACACTGCAAAGGGCTTTGTATATACTTATCAACACTCCAGCTTGCATATCCAAACTCCATCCCCCCAGCTCTCCAACAGAGAGCTGTCCCTTAGTCATCTCTCGGGGCTAGGAATGTGCACAGTCTATCGGGACTCAGAGAAGAGGGGAGGGAAAGTGGGCTTTGCAGGGAATTCTGGGGTCCTATGCAGAGAAAGGGCACATCCCCTTGACCTGCATTCCATGGGGGAGGGTCATGGCAGGGCCTTCTGAAGTGATAGTCCCGGGCACTGGGTCTCGCCCTCTTGCAGTGGGATTTTCCAGGCTCTGAGCTCTGATAGCAAAGGCAGCTCCCAGATCCTTCTCTGGCCTCTCCCTATCAGCCCCACCCTGAGAGGCGAAGGATAAACGAACAGACCAGTACAAAAGAAAAATACTGTTTATTCCACACAACTACATCCCCACTTTCCCCTCCCCACCCCTCACTCCAGCCCTCAGCAGGCTTTGCCCCATGTCAGGGAATAGTCAGAACCTCAGTGTCAGAGCCTGGCTTATGAGACAGGAAGCGAATCTAGGCATAGGAAGGTGATTGGGTTTCCAAGGACACAAAAACATCAGGGACTCTCATTCCAAATTCAAGTGTGTTCCTCAGTCCATTTGGCCAAATTCTTCCCGGGCCCCCACTAGATAAAATGCTATGGATAGTGCAGGGTCACAGACCCCAGCTGACTCACCAGGCCATAGAAATTTTGGTCTTCTCCCATTTTAAAACAAAGCAAACAATGCCACACACAGACAGTTAAATCACTTCTGCCCTTTCTCCTGCCTTTCCATGCCAAAGGAGCCACTAAGCTCTGGGTTATGTCCAGAAAGGTGCTTTCAAAACAAAATTCGTATCGACACCCCTCAGAACCTGATGCTATCAGAAGCAAAACAGAAAACCCGCCTCTGGTGGAGATAGCTGTTCCCCCAAGCGCTCTACAGTGGGGGGGGGGGGGGGGTGGAGCGTGAGCAGAGACAGCAGGCCTGTGAGCTCTGCCTTGGGCACTCTTCAGGGACACTCTGCACCCCATGCCTGGGGACTTCAGCCTGCAAAAATTCTGCCCCTGGTATCCTTCCTCCGAAAGACCTACTCATCCTTCCCGCAGGGGAGAAAATGGTGTCGTTCTAACCCAGCCCCGGGAAGACAGATTTAGACAAGGGAGGAGCTGAGAAAGCGTGGCCAGGCCTGATTTAGACCAGGACTTCATTATCTTCTTTTCACAGACCAGGACAGATGGTATTCTCCTGCGTATCTACTGCCACGGACACACCCTGGATTATATGCTACTCCCAGGGCTCCAGCTGTGACCCACTTGTCTCTCTCAAAAAAAGAAAGCCTATCTGAACACAAGCGTTTGCGGGTGCAAGCCTACCTCTCTCATTTATTGACGTGTAAGTCACTGAATCCTTCACAGACGCCAGCAGCCTGGGTCTTCTTACTGAAAACTTGTTTACGATGCCCGTCCCGAGGGAGCCCCTCATCTCGTTGACACAGACGGATAACCCTAAACTTGACTGTGAAGCCTCCCCCTTGGAGACGTATCCTCTCCCGGGAGGCTTGGGGCAGGCAGGGTGCCCGCCTGCTTCCTCGTTCCCACCACACTCTGGAAAGTTGGGACGGTCCGAACGCACTGGGGCAGGAGTGTGTGCGTACGTAGGGGGTTTGGGGAAAATCTGACACACAACCGTCCTCTCACTGGCAGGGCCGCCAAGAGGGGGGCCACTCTGGCATTGTAGGGCCTGACAGGGACCAGCTGTAGGCAGGAAAGGGAACACCACAAGCCAGGGGAAGCTCGACCAAGAGGGGACTCTGTGCCGGTGACCAGTGGGGTAGGGCTGTGCCCTCGCCTGGCAAGCCATTTTGTCAGGGTAGATCCTGTGAGGTGCCGTGGAGGGCAGCTGCTGATCTGGCTCTGTGACTTGTGGCCCTTGGACACGGTCTACACGGTGAGTCTAGGTTCACCTAAGCACACCTCTTAGTGCTCGCCCGACCTCCTGGAGTAACATACTGAGTTCCAGGGGCCGTCCAGCCACAGCGAGGCTGGGAAACTCACTGAGCAGCTTGGATGGGGTGCCCGCCTTCGGTGTGCCATCTTCGTCCTCTCTGTAGGCAAGACCCGTCCTGCTCCGGGGGTATTCTTGACTCAGAGGAGCTCTGGCAGGCAGGGGTGGGGAGGACTGTTTGCACAAACACATGGTGTAAGACTCCAGAAAAAACAAGATTTCTCCTCCAGTATCCAAGGCTCAAAGTCACCAAGAAAATTAGAGTTAAGTCACCTTCCACAAGAGACTTTCTTGGGCTGCCATCCATTCTTCCTGGATGGTGGCCTTTTCCCCAGGGCCTTGCTGTCTGGTTTAGGGTTTCGTGTGCCCCTCTGACAAGGCCCAGCACTGGGTTAGGGGTGAGTGGGAGGACAAGAGAAAGAGAGAGTCAGCATTCCTTTCATTTCTCTTCGGGGTGCTGCGAGCTTGGGCAGTGGGATTTTCCAGGCTGCCGGTTCTTTAACCCTCACTGTCTAGTGAGGGAGAGAGCCACGGGCAGAGTTTAGATTAAAATCTGGAAGGATGGGTTCATCTATTACGTTCCCAACCTGCCGTAGACCCAGGTCAACTCCAGGACGGCCAGAGTTCAAAGCTGCTTCCTTCCAACCTGGGTCACAAATGAACAGGTTCTGCTTTAGTGCAATTTCCCCCCAAAGGAAGCAGGGATCACATGTTCTGGCCCCAGGGCTGCGAGAACCTTCTGACCTCGAGGGCAAGGCAGACACTGAGCCTGACCTGCTGAGCAGCTCGTCACACTTTTCGGAACTGTGCCCCTTGGGTCCTTTCGGGGACAGGGTGCCTGCAGGCAAAGGGTGGGAGTTGAGGCTGGGGTTCCGCTGCGCGAGCTGCTGCACCTGCGACACTTCCACAGAGGAGCACAGGGGAAGGGGGGGTGGAGAGAGAATGCCATCAAAGACAAGAGCTAAGGGTCAGTGGTACTTAGGGGCTGCCGCAGCCCTGCCCCAAAGACGGGGAGCTTCTGGTTCCCAACCAGAATTCACCCTTCGAAAACCACCTTCGCAAAGTGCTTCTTTAAGTGACGCCACTTAATGGAAGGGTCCCTTGGCGTGACCGGCCCGGAGCCTGGAGCTCTCAGGTGGGCCCCCTCTGCCCTCCCCGTGATGGGAGCTACGTGGAGGAGAGGAGGGAGGCAGTGAACGCACATGCACACAGTGGAGTCTCACGACCCCAGGACAAGCGCAGCCGCACGTGGCAGAACGACAGGTGCCGTCACGGCAGTGGCTGCAGCCAGGGGCCAAGGGAAAAGTACAAAGTGCTGGAACACAGGGCCGGGGGCTGAGCCCTAAGGGATCTGAAAGACATTCAGCTTGCTGGTGTTCTTGAGCGTCTGGCGCCGATTGCAGAACCAGACGCGCACGACCTCCCGGTCGTAGTTGAGCTCCTTAGCAATCTCGGTGATCTCCTGGCCTGTGGGCAGCGGGTTCTTCTCGAAGTAGGCATTCAGAGCCTCTATGGCCTGGGGGGTGAAGGAGGTGCGGCGTTTGCGTTTCTTGGAGGGCTCACCTCCCACGAACTCCATCAGGTTCTGCTGCCCTTCCTGGTTCCGGAGTTCGGCTTCATTCAGCCACTTTTCCAGCACTGGCTTCAGCTTCTGGGCACTCTTGGGTGTGATATCCAGCTTCTCAAACCTGTGGGTGACCCAAGCCCGGGAAGGGACAGTGAGAATGCCTTACTCCCCACCCTGGGGTGTGAGTACTCTCCACGAGGGGTTGCCCCTCTGAGGACTGGTGGGACCGTACTAAATGGTCCCCTCACCGCCCCCATCGAGACCACCCTGGCTCAGCCAAGCCCAGACTCCGCAGACTATCCCGTAAGCCAGGTCACAAAAGCGAGACCATTCCCACAGCCTCAGTTCAGTGGCGCAACGATAACAGTGCAGCTGCTGTCTGAACAACTCTTCTAGAACGTTCACACCCAAATGAGTGAGGTCCTTTGAGGAGTTATCCTAAGAGGACTTCAGAGATGGCACATGGATGTCACAAGTGCCATCTCCTCCGATTTCATCTCACAGTGGTGACACTGAGTCAGACCGCTCTTCCTGGCCGAGCCCGGATGCGACTACAGAACTGCCAGCGTGACACCTGGTCTAGCGGTCACTCTTGTCTAATCTGGGAGCTGGCAGGCACCTTTCGGCCATCCCTGAGCCATGGACTCATTCCTGTTTGCAACACTTTGCCCTCCTTCGATACTGGCATCAGAACCAGTCTGAACGCTGCACACAGAAAAATCAGCTACATCGCGTTATAGTCATGCCTTGGGAGGAGGGGGGATGGGAGCATAACAGAGGGGAGGGTGGGTTGCGGTGGACGGCTAAGTCAGAACGGAAGTTCCCACTTTTGTGACCAACAGCATAAGCTGTAGCCTTTCCCTGTAGGGTTCCTGAATGGATTAGGGTCTTAGGTTCCCCCCAACGAAAGACCACGTACATGCTCAGGATTGAAGAACAAACTTGAGAGGGCCCTCAGACGGACTGGATCAGCCTCTGGCCACTCTCGGTGTTCCCCGTCTACCCTTGGAACAACCTTCCTGGTCTGGAAGGAGGCAGGAGCAAGAGAGAATATGGAAAGGAGCCATGCACCTGGGTCCCAATGAGTGCTTAGTGCCATCAAATGCCTGAGCCGGCCTTGACCTTGTCCAGAACAGCCTTACTCACCGGCAGATGGCTGACTGGCTGTAGGCTGGGCCTTCCGTTGCAGTCAGAGCCTGGCCCACCTGAGTCTGTGTGAGGCCCAGGGACAGCCGCCGGATCTTAAAGTTCTTGGCAAACTCCCGGATCTCTTCCAAGTTGATTCCGTCCTCATCCAGACTTGGGGTATGCGGCTCTAGGTCAGAGGAAGGGACCAGGGGTGAGTGTGTAAGACGGATGATAGCCCTCCTTACCTAGCTTATTGGCCTGGCCTGGTGAAGCAGTGAGGGATGAAGACATTTGACAAAAGGCCCATATACCCTTAACACCTTCACCACCCCTGTTCCCAAAGCAAACAAAACTTGAGGAAAAGGGGCCTGGACTAACCTGTCTGGAAGTAGGGGTCTCTTTTCAAGTTCTTCCAGCTCCAGTGGCTGACCCTCCCCCATTCTCCCCGCTCCTGGCCCCAAGCAGAGCTGAGCCACCCACATTCCTCAAATACTGGGTGAGAGGCCAAACGAGAGACAGCCCATGGATTGGCTTCTTGAGGAAGTGGCCTCCACTGTCACCATGCCTAGAATCCAGCTCAGCAGGAATGGGAATAAGAAAGCCAATGCCTGGTAGTGGGCCTTTGCCCTTCCCCTTTGGACGCTAGAAAGTTTATTAAGGAGAGCAGCATCTAAAGGGGCTGGGGAGTCCGAATACATGCCTCTCCTCTTCTCTACAACCTTTTTCAGGAGTCACTTACTGGATACCAACTGGCTGACAGTAGGGGTCTCAGAGCAGGTGATTGGAATGGGAGCAGAGGCAGATGGCTTGGCCGCTGGGGCTGGGCTGGTGATGACCACCGCTGGCTGTGGCACGGCTGGCGTGGGCTGGATGGGCTGGACCTGGGAGAAGAGAGCCAATGAGACGCTACTGCCCGCCTGCCTGGCTCAGGGGGTGGGAGTCCCTGCCCGGGCCACATGAAAATGGGCATGAAATCCTCACTCCCCCAGCACACTCCTACCCGTGCCCCATCACAAAGCAAGACTAGAAGCTACTTATTACACCCACCCAAAGACAGTGACCTCTGAAGTAAGGACAGCAACATGCCCCACCAAGTTGGAGCCTCGCAGCCACCTGTGACACAGGCAGGTCAGAGGCTCCGAAAGGTTCAGTACAGTTGTTCAAAGCCCAACAGGTGTCCACCCTTGAGATACCTGCTCTCAAACCTTTTCCCTCAGAACAGAAACCTACACTTGATTCTAGAGGCTCCCAGGCCCCAAATGTCCATTAACAGGGAACTGGCAAATGACTCTGGGGACCTTTTTACAATGAGATTCTGTGCAGCTACTAAAAAGAATACAGTGGGGTGCCCGGGTGGTTTAGTCGGTTAAGTGTCCGTGATTTCAGCTCAGGGCATGATCTCACAGTCCGTGAGTTCGAGCCCCGCGTCGGGCTCTGTGCTGACAGCTCGGAGCCTGAAGCCTGTTTCAGATTCTGTGTCTCCCTCTCTCTCTGCTCTTCTCTGCTCACGCACTGTCTCTCTCTCTCACGTATAATATTAAAAAAAAAAAGTACGCAGTTAATCAATTAACCGACATGGAAGGAGCTCTGGGTCACAGTGCTAAGTGGAAGAAAAGATAAAGTGAAAACAATTTTTATAGAATAACTCCTATAAAAAATACATATGAATTTCCAGGAAAAACAAAAGCTTGAGACATATAAAGCAAGTTGTCTACATCAGCTATCTCTGGGGGTGGACTTGTAAGAGATTTTTGCTTTTTTCCATTACACATAATATTGGAATTTTTATAAAAAGTGTGTGTCCCGCCTGAGTGGTTCAGTCAGTTAAGTGTCCGACTTCGGCACAGGTCGTGATCTCAAGGCCCGTGAGTTCAAGCCCCACGTCGGGCTCTGTGCTGACAGCTCAGAGCCTGGAGCCTGCCTCGGATTGTGTCTTCCTCTCTCTGCCCCTTTCCTGCTTATGCTCTGTTTCTCAGCCTCTCAAAAATAAGTACACATTAAAAAATATTTTTTTTAAGTGTGCATCATATTTATCATCAGGAGAAACTATAAATATATCAAATCAGTATTCTTAGTATGAATTTTTAAAGTAAAAACCCGCAGCGTGGGGCTAGAACTCAAAACCCCGAGATCAAGAGTCGCATGCTCTACTTACTGACTGAGCCAGCCAGGCAGCCCAGGATGATTGTTTTTAAAAGCTTCCTGAGGGGCACCTGGGTGGCTCAGTCGGTGGAGCGTTTGGCTCTTGGTTTGGGCTCAGGTCATGGTCTCGCAGTTTCGTGAGTTCGAGCCCCGCGGCCAGCTCCATGCTGGCAGTGTGGAGCCTGCCTGGGCTTCTCTCTCTCCCTCTCTCTCTCTTCCCCCTTCTCTCTGCCCCTCCCCCACACGCACTGTCCCCATCTCTCTCAAAATAAATAAATAAATAAATAAATAAATAAATAAATGTTAAATAATAACAATAAAAAAACAACTTCCTGGAAAGTGCACATTTCTCTAGGATGAGTCCTATTCCCTGGATTCTACCCTTTGGTAGCTCTCAAGCCCAGTCCCTCTTCCTCCCCAGGGACTTAAGTTCAGGGCTCCTGGTTTCTTGGTAGAACTGTTTCAGCTGCCTCCTAACAGGTGACAAGGACTCAAGTCTTGCCACAGTTCAGTTCTTGGCTCCACCTGGATAACAGGTAATTTTTTTTTTTTATTTTTTTTAACGTTTATTTATTTTTGAGACAGAGAGAGAGCATGAACAGGGGAGGGGCAGAGAGAGAGAGGGAGACACAGAATCTGAAACGGGCTCCAGGCTCTGAGCGGTCAGCACAGAGCCCAACGAAGGGCTCGAACTCACGGACCGTGAGATCATGACCTGAGCTGAAGTCGGACGCTTAACCGACCGAGCCACCCAGGCGCCCCGGTTAATTTTTTTTTAATACGCATCTAATAAGCCACTTCCCTTCCATGACTCTCTGCTCCATAATAAGTGATAAAATAAAAGCACCGTTTTTTTCCAGTGCTCCCTGCATACAGAGTGTTACCTGTCTTACGCGTGATATATCCATTAACGTTCATAACCTTCTGAGGTTGGTACTCTGATAATCTCCATTTTACAGATGAGGCTAGGAGGTTATTCACAAAGCCTGGAAGCGGCATGCTGCATTTGAGAGCCAAGGCCTCAACCTCGCCCGAGAACTTGCTAGAAATACAAATTCTGGAGCGCCACTCCAGAACTTCTGAACAAGAAACTCCAAGGGTGGGGGGACGTGTGTGCATCGGGACTCTGCAGTCCAGCTGTCCTTCAGGTGCTTCTGACACACAACTCTGGGAACCCCTGCTCTGACACCTTCTAATTCCTGCAATTACAGTAAAGGGGGGGGGGACCCACTCTCCCGCCCACCTCATCCCTTTAGATTAGTGCCACCTCCCTTCTCTACAAAGCTTTGCTGAATTCCCCAGTCGGTCCAGAACTCCCTTCTCGGGGTCCCTACAGCAGCTTGTCACGTCCCTGTCATAGTCTTTGTCACTCTGGCTTGCAACTGTCTCCAGCAGTGAGCCACCTAAGGCTAGGAAAGGCATCTTACTCGTCCCTAGATCTACAGCACCTGGAGTATAGTAGGCACTCAAAAACTGCTCCTGGAATGAACGAATAAAGGAATAATCAAAGCCACAGTGCAAGTGAAGGGGTGAGGCGGAGGGGATGCCGAGTCACCTCCCTGGGCTTTCCTGGCAATCGGTTCACCCTGGAGCCGATCAAGGCTCAGTTTGCTTTGACTATCTCCCTGGCCCTTTCAGCATGGCACTGGCCTCTGAGGGCACATACACTTGTTTTTGGAGTGGGGGTGGGGTGGGGGGGGGTGCTCTGTCCCTGAACAGAGTATGTGGGGCCTTCTACTCTGGGATTTCCCCTCACTTTGGGGAGGTACTCTGTGTGCCAGGGGCTTCAGAAAATAGTCTTGTCCTGCCCTGCAGTCTTGAGGGAGGCACCCCACCCCCACCCCTGCCCTCATCCCAGCCCAGCCCTTGTACCTCACTCTTAGCAGGGGACTCAGGCGTGCTTGCCTTCCGGACAGCCACGGGCGGAGGCAGGGGGCTGCTGGCCAGGGTCGCGATCACCTGGCCCTGGGCATTCAACAACAGCTGGGGTGTCACAGCCTGGACCTGCAGGCTTTGGGCTGGTGCTGGGGCTGCCACACTAGCCGAGTTCACTACCCACGGAAGTGCTCCAATAACCTGGAGGAAACAAGGCAGGGACCCCAGGTGTGAGGCCAGCGTCCAGTTCTACCTCCAACCCAAATCCCCACGTGGGCAGGGGAAGGGACCTCAACAAATCGTTGAACCCTTCCGGACCTCAGTTCCCTCATCGATAAAGCTGTTTCCTTTATTCTATCCCCGGAGCCGAGGTGCAGGAAGAATAGGTCTGCATGTGATTCACACAGCCCTGGATGTGAAGCCCTGCCCTGCCCTGCCACATTTTATTGGGTGGCTTACTTTCTCTGAACCTCGGCCTTCTCCCCCTGGAAAAATGGGAATGAAAATCTCCACCTAACAGACCTGTACTCAAAATGAGGTGAGATAATGTGAGAGAGCACCTAACACAGAGCCTGGTCACAAAGTGGGTGCTCCACGAAGGAAAACCCCAGAGTAGAGTGAGCACCTATAGGCTGGGGTGGAGGTGAGGCCCCTGCCGGGGCTCAGCATCAGCAGAGAGCTGCCACACGAGAGATGAACGGCAGCGTGGCACCCTGTCCGAGTTTCTAGGACCCTCAGCCCAAGGCCCGGGCCCCCCCCCCCCCCGCCCAGGCAGCCTCACCGCAGCCCTCAACCCTCAGCCCTGGCTTCGACCACTTGCCTGTCCCTGAGCGTTGGTGAGGATCTGACTGCTGATCCCTGGCATGCTGGGAATGGCGTTGGCAATGACCGGAGTGGTAGTGAGGGAGCCTAGGATCTGGGTCTGTCCCCCGAGGGAAGCAGCACTGATCTGTGGGTGGAGAAAGAGCCTTGCTCAGAGGCCACGGGGTGAGAAAGAGCCCAAGGCAGAGAGGAAAAGGCTGAGCGCTTTGGGGTGGGGAGATACGGATGCTGGGCAGGTGTGAATGTGGGCTGCAGGCCTATGTCCACCAGCTGAATAGCATCGAGGGCCAGGGGCTGCGGGGAAGGGGGAGGGGCACCACCACGGAAGAGTAACTCCGGCTAATCTTTCAGGCCAGGCCCAGGGGGACAGAAGGCCAGACTGGAGGGGCCGATGTGAATCTAGTCACATCCAACAGCTCCACTGCCCGAGCCGGGAGCCACACCCGACAGACACGGGCACGGGGCTGTGAGCCTCCAGCTCCACCTTAGTTACAGCTCACGAGTTTGCAATCCCCAGACATCATCCCACCCCCCAAGGCCGGTCCAGTGGTTCAGGTTCTGGAGAATTTGCCCAGCCCTCTTGGCGGAGATTGTCTGCTCTTGTCTGGGATGGATGGGCTGGCAGATGCAAGGAGAAGGCCTCAGAGGGAGCCATCTCTGCGGATGTGTTGGAAAAGAGCCGTTTTCGGGGGGGCTGGTCCTCCACCTCCTTCCTCCCCTGTGGGAAGGGCCAGTTCCACCCTTGGCCCGAGATTCGGTCCATCCCTGGTCAGCCCTGGGTGAGGGCAGCAGCTTACAATTCCTGGACTCAGTGCGAAGCCTGCAGGCTGGACGGTGATCTGTGGGGGGGTGTCCACTGGCTTGGGGACGGGGGCAGTAGCGGTGGCAGCGGTGGGCTGCGGTAGAATGGCCGGCGTGGTCTGCAGCAGCGGCTGGGTCTGGAACAGCGTCTGGGGCTGGGCCGCTGGCCGGGGCTGCGTGGGCGAGGAGGCCTGTACCGGCGGGACAGCTTGTACGGGTGTCGGGAGAGCGGCGTTCAGCACGGCAGCTGCTACGGAGCAAGGCAGAGACAGAGGCGCTCAAATGCCTAGCCGCAGCCCAGAGCGGCTCCAATCCCAAGGGATCTGGCCCAAGAATGAGAGGGGGGTTGGGACAGCGGGGCAGAGGGGGCAGGCAGCCGTGATTCCCTTGATCCTTGCAGGGGCAGCGCGTGGCAGCATCTCTCATCCCCCCCTCCCTCGGGCCTGCTGGAGACGCGTAGGTTCCAAAGCAGAAGCGGAATCTTCTTGCGGTGGTCCTTCTTAGGAGGCTGGTCGTGGGGCGAACTCTGGCGCGGTGGGGGGGGAGGGGGGCAGTCTCGGCTGGCTGGAGTGAGAGAGGCCCGCTGGGCCGGCTCGGTGTCATGGCCTAGAGTCCCGAGGTGGTGCAGCAGCTCTGTGGCTGGGTGCCTGGGACACCGGATCCGGACTCCAGGGCTGTTGCCCCGGTGGGCCGCGTGTTCTGAGTCCAGCATGGCAAGCACACGTGCAGGGACAGTAGTGTAGGGTGGTGGGGGGCCTGGTGCAGTCCTGGGGAGAGTTGCCGTTACCTTGCAGACCGGCTAAAGGTGGCTTGAAAATTCCCCCCGTAGGAGAAGCAGCTGTCAGTCCTGGGAGGGCAGCCACGGTTGCTGTAGGAATTGTCCACACGGCCAGCCCCTGCTGACCAGCCACTTGACCTGCAATACTGATGGGGATAAGAAGAGGTTGAGTAACTGCCCCTGCTGGAACCATAACTCCTGTCAGAACTGTGGCTAAGTTTTCCTGAGTCAAGACCTGCAAAAGCAAACAAGATTTCAAAAAGAAAAGAAAAAATAAAAAATCAACATTGACAGCGCAAACACCAGGTCTCTCAGACCCAGTTGAGCACAAACAAAGCATTCTGAGGGCGGTGGGGAAAAGGCCGGTGAGGGTGGGGAAGAGACCAGCCCTAGCCGGAGGCCTGACCCCGAGGGGGTGCCTGGACCAGACTATCCTGCCTTCAGAGAAGCTGCCTGAACCGGAGACGGGGCCTGGCCCCACTCACGGGACAGCAGAGGGTGTGCCAGCCTCCTCCACCACAGTCTGCTGCCTCCCAGGCCTTCCCTGGGCCCTGGCCCACACGACCAATGCTTTGTGGCCGTCGGGAAGCAGGGGGCGGGGGCTGGTGGAACCAGGAGATCAAGGGCCTACAGAGGCTTCTGGGAAGCTCTGACGGAGGATACCCCGCTGGATGCCTTGCAGATCTGTGCCATGTAGCAAAAGGTCACAGGGAACTCAGCACAGCCGGGGGACCCGGGAGGCAGCTTCTCACGGAGCTGGGGCGGCCCCCTGGCTCTAAATGAGGACCCTGAACGATCCATTAACTCTTCCAGGCATCTCCTGGAGGGGCTAACAAGGCTATTCACTCATTTAGTCATTAGATAAACAGAGATGCCTGTGGCATGAAAGAGTTAACGTTATCTCTACAATCTTTGCTGGACCCAAGAATATTAGTTGGCAAAGACAGATCTAATCTTCCCAGTGGGCCTGATCTGGGGTAGGGGAGAGGCCAGGGGTGCCCAGGAAGGGATTCCCTCCTTCAAGCCACAGCCCCTTCCCTGTTCTGCCCCGAGAAATCCCCAGATCCCATGGCCACCCCACACTGGCTTGTCCCATGCTTTGCTCCCGCCCAGGGCCCTCTGTTCAGCTCCCCGGGGGGCCCTTACCTGGGGGGCAGCTTGTACAGCCAGTGGCGTCAGGGTCTGCGATGCCTGAGGCTGGCTTGGGGCTTGGCTGAAGGTGGCAACCGCAGGGGCAGGGCTCGGAGGGATCCCCGGGAGAGACTTCACTTCATGTGGCATTGAGAGAAAGGACAAGGAGTGAGCCCGGTGTGAGCGGAGGGGTCACTGGAGTAGAACATCTGGTTGCAGTTTGGAGTGCTAAATTCTCAGGCCTACATTGTTTTTCTGCATAACCCAAGGCCAATCACCAGCCTTCCCTGGCCCAGGAGGCAGCTTCCCAAATGCTACCGGTAGTGAGAATGGAAGGATGGGGGACCCTGTGCCAGACCTGAAAGGTGGGCTACCCTCTTCCCACATCTAGTTGAAGAAGATGCAGGCCTATGCACAGTTGCCTATCAAGTCTCCCACTTCCTGGCTCCATAGGACATGGTGACCTATCACATAATCAGTAAAGGGGCCCTAAGCAAACGTGTGTCAGGGAAGGAAGGAGCTAGAATTGACGGGAGCAACTTCCCTTGACTCATCCAGCAATTGAATCACTGTTACACCACCTGCAGGTGACTTTGTGGATGCAGGTGCTGGCTTGGGGAAGGGGCAAAGATTCCTGTCGGGTGAGGCCCTTGAAGTGACAGTCCCTGAAAACTGGACAGGTCTTTGCCACACTCCAGAACACAGGGGCATTCCAGGCCAGGCAGCTTTTTTCTGCCAGGGCCTGCGGTCTGAAGTCCAGCTGAGAAGCCTCACTGAGCTTCCAAAAGAACTTCTTTCCTGTGAAAGGGTGCTTTTCACCCAGCTGATAGCTTCCTCTTGCTACCTTGATTTAGTCCGGTATTGGAGAACCCCACCAGGAAACCTCTTCAAAGCCACACAACAATGAGGAGAAGGGTTATTGTTTAATACACAGTAAAACTTGAAAAGGAATCTACATATTGGGTGATGGACGTTAGACCAGATTGGTGGCCTCTTAATATTGGCTGGGTGTAGATTTCCAGGCCCTAATCTAAGCCTACTGAATTGGATGTCTGGGAATGGAGGTCAGTAACCTCTCCTCTCTCTCTTTTTCCTTTTAAACCCACTTGTGATACATCACGCAGCCAGAGGAGGAACCACGGAATTAGACAGCCTTTCCACCTTGCATTCCCAGCCCACATTTTCATCTGGAAAGGCAGTAACCTAACTCAGGACTATAAAGTTCACAGTACATAATGAAAAAAAAAAAAAAAAAAATCCAACTCTTTAAGGAATCAAAGAGAAAACAGGCAACAACAAAAGTCTTCTAAAATACAAACAGAAAACAAAACGACAGGTTTATGTCCACTGTGGAGGGGAAATACAGGTCTAGCTACTGAAAAAAAAAATCAGAAAACATCACGATACTCTGAACCCACAAAAACTTAAAAAATATGTTGCTTGACAAAATGTTATGAAATATATAAAAAAAAAAGCGAAGTGGGAAAATGGGAATGTGATAAACATGAATGAGAAAAGCTTATCATCTAAAGAAACGAAATGTTCATTTTATTAGGATTTATTTTCAAAGTAGGACTAAGGGTCCAAGGGTTTGCATACATTTAGGGCTTTTATCACTCCCTGCTAGACTGCTTTTCAGAAAGACTGAACCAATTCACAGAACCATCAATAATGTGCCCATTTCTCCACAGTGCCACCCAACCTAGGTTTTATCACTGTTTATTTATTTTTCTGGCTTAACAGCTATGTGGTACCTTGTAGCCAATTACTGGTCCTCTCTCATTGATAGATTTTGTACTTTTCCAGGTGATAACTTCCTCCTAGGTACACAACTGATTTCTTTTCGAAAGGAATTTGAGGGGCGCCTGGGTGGCTCAGCCGGTTAGGCGTCCAACTCTTTTTTTTTTTTTTTTTCAACGTTTATTTATTTTTG